AAACCACAAGAAAAAAAACGCAACACTCTCATAAACGAATAATAATAATGAAAAAAAAACAACAACCCATGGCTGAGAGGGGGACAAAAATAATTGAAAAAGAGACAGGGGTCAGAGTTCATCAATATTATAACTATACCAGAAAGAAGAGATGGGTAAAGAATAAAAACCTTCGACAACACAGCCCTGTAAATTGTTGGCTTCGTGTATAAGGGACTAAAAAGGATCAGATGAAATAATACATTTACCAACTTTAACAGCTTTACAAAAGATAAAAGAAAAGATCTAAGAGGCAGAAACATTTACAGATAAGCAGCTCAATAAAAGCCATGTTCAACTTGGGGTAACAGCAGTTACAAGCCAGTCAGATCGGAAACAAAATAATAGTAATTATAAGATTATAGTGTTTTTACTTAAGATTTAGTAGGCGTTTTACTACCCTTGCCAGATAAATACATCATTTTTATAAGTGCCGAAGATTAGAGGTGTTACAAGAGAATAACAAACACAAAATAGATGTAGGAGAGATAAGGACGATAGATGTTTGATAGGAAAGAAGAAGCAAAGACTACAGTACCCGCCAACCACCCACAAAAACTATAGTGGGTGTGAATACAAGAAAAGGACAGAAATAGAGCAGATTTCGAGACCAGAAATACGGACCAGGTTCAAAAGAATACTTTTTCTTAATGTAGGCGGTTTTTATGCCCCCATAGACACATTAAGACAATCTAGGAGGGGACTTCCGAGCAGGGCTACTTCTGAGCCTGTCTGTCAGGGCCAACGAGGACCGAGAGGGATAAGCAACCCAGAAAGACACCAGTTTTAGTTTAGTCTTAGTAGAGGTTTTACGGCGCTCACAACTGCATAATAAGATCATATAAGCGCCTAGGGGAGGAAGTCAACAGAGAAGTCCTTACAGGGAGTCAGGCTTACTCTGCTCACCTCTCCAGCGTCAGCTTCAACAGCACAAAGAAAGTCAGACAATAGCCCAGCTGAAAGACAGAGATACTCGATAAAAATTTCTCCAATCTTGAGAATCAAGCCCGGATCTCCTGTGTGCGACAACAAAGCGCCACACCGTTACACCACAGACGCTTAAGCTTTGTGCTCAGATACACTGCCATTTTAAACAAAGTTCAGCAAAAAAAA